GTCCCCCTCCCGATCACCATCACCATCACCAGCACCACCATCATCAACATCAGCAACATCAGCATCAGCATCAGCATTACCATCAACACCATCATCATCATCAGCAGCATCACCAGCGTCGCCGTCGTCATCATCATCGTCATCATCAGCATCATCAGCATCATCATCGCCACCACCATCATCATCAACTTCCTCCTAGTACTGTATCCTCCGCATGTTTCTCCTCTTCTTTATTGCCCCTCCCTTTCCTCCAACCTCTCTTTCTCCTCCTCCTCCTCCTCCTTGATCATACCCCTTCCCCCCGTCATGCCCCGCTTCGCCCTCGTTGTCCCCATCGTTATCACCACCCGCTTCCCCACCATCATCTTCAACATCGTCATCAGCACCATCATCATCATCATCATCATCATCATCATCATCATCATCATCATCATCATCATCCCCATCATTCCCATCAGCATCCTCCTCATCAGCCCCCCTCCCCTTCCAAATGGTCATCCTCCTCCCCCTCCCCCTCCAGACTCATTCAGGAATCCTCCAGAATCCTCCCCACATGATCCTCCTCCTCCAGGAATCCTCAAGAATCCCCCGGGAAGTCTCAACAATCCCCCAGGAATCTTCAACCATCTTTCGACAATCTTCAAGAACCTTTGAAACATCATCACACAACATCCAGAACCTTCAGCAATCCTTCAGGAATGTTTCGGGAATCTTTCAGGAGTCCTTGAGGAATCTTCAAGGATCCTTCAGACATCCCCAAAGACTGCTCCAGCAATCCTGAAGAATCCTTCAGGCATCTTCAAGCATCTTTCAGGACTCTTCAAGAATCGTCAAGAATCATGCAGGAGCCAGCAAGAATCCTCCAGGAATCTTCAAGAATCTAGGAAACCTCGACAATCCTGCGGGGATCCTCATGAATCAGGGATCCTTCAGAAATCCTTTCTAGGAGTCCTTCAGGAATCTTCAGGTATCCTTCGGGAATCCTTCAGGAATCCTTCAGGAATCTTCAGGAGTCCTTCAGGAATCCGGAGGAATCCTGTCGGAATCGTTCTCGGATCCTTCAGGAGGCCGTCAGGAATTATCAGGAATCCTTTAGGAATCCTTACGGCATCCTTCAGGACTCCTTTAAGAATCCTCAGGGGATCCTCCAGGAATCCTTCGGGGATCCTTCAAGAATCCTTGCGGCATCCTTCAGGAATCCTGCAGGAATCCGCCGGAATCCCCCCGGAATCCTCAAGAATCTTTTACGCTCTGGAAAGCTGAAGCAAGCGCCCCTGGTTGTAATCCGGCGTTCGCCGTGCGGGAATACAATAGGGATCGTACGCGTTGCGATCAGTCCGGTTCCAGTGCTTGTAATCAGTCCGAAGTGGCTCTTCAACGATCCGAAGTGGTTGGGATCGGTCTTATTATCCGTCCCTCTCCTTTCCTTCCGTTTCTCCTGCTCCTCTCTCTCTCTCTCCTGTCCCTGTGCGCGAGAGTCCCAAGGCTTCCTTGGTGTATTTTAACCGTAGCTGTAGTTGCAGTCTGTACTGGCATGGTCCGTTAGCCCGGCAAAAGAGTGCTGCGTCAGTTCGTTGGCTCATTCGCGGGGATGCGGGGGAGGAAGAAGGAGGAACGGCACGGCAAGGGGAAGGACCCATGGATCTGTCTGCTCCTGCGATATGTTTGTGTTTCACGCGAGGTGTTTCGTCAAGGTGCGCTTGACAGGCGCTCCTGTGCTCAAACACAGTACCACTCGCAAACAGATTTTCGCCGTGGGAGTGCAGGGTTGGCATGTTTTCCCTGGCCGTAGCCGTAGCCGACAAATGGTCCCCAGCGGCAGCTGGCCGAAGCAGGAAAGAGCTGCACGATGGAAGCGGAATGCCCCCCCCCCCCCCCAGGGTAGTGTTGATGCAGCCGGCGTGATTGCACGATCCACCGTCGTGTATCGAAGAAGAATATGTAAACGCCATGAGCATAAACTTTTGGCGCTCCGCGCGGATTTCTTGCGCTGGGGTCCCCCTGGCGGCGCCTCTGGCGCCGCCCGTAGCGCGCTCCGCGCGCCAAGGAGGGGGGGTCCAGCGCAGATCCAAGAAATCCGCACGGAGCGCCAAAAGTTTATGTTTATGCCGCTTTTCTTTCTTCTATGTCAGTCGAAGTTGATGTCGCTGTCCATGTGCCTGGTTTTCTTGTATCCACCGTTTGATGCGGATCCCTCTGCAACCAGACTGTTGCCGTTGCCTCTGTGCGCACGTGAAACACGCGATTCCTCCGAAACCATGACTCCATCTTGACACTCACCACTGAGCCCACGCTTGCCATATTATCAAAACGCTGGACTGGTATAAGCAGCGATGTTAGCGCGGCGTATCCGAATGTGTGTTGGGAGCACGTTGCCTTTGTTTTCACATGTCATCACGTATTCCCCAAGCGTGGCGACATTTCATATCCACAGAGCCTTGCTTGGTTTTAGCTTGCTGGCTCAATTAGCATGGAGTCTTTACACACCGAACTCTCATAG